AACAAGGGTTGTCCACTGAAAGACCCCTACAGACTCACCATCACTATAGATGCTGTTTGGATGGGGAGCACATTTCCAGTTCCTCTCAGCTCAAGGACATTGGTCCGCAGCAGACCAATCAAACAGCATAAATTGGTTGGAGTTCAGGGCAGTCCATCTGGCCCTTCGCAGTTTCCTTCCTCATATTCGAATGAGAAACATCCTCACACTAACAGACAACGTCACAACAAAAGCACATATAAACCGACACGGGGGTACCCACTCAAAACAACCCATGTGGGAAGCAGAGAAACTGTGCCTTTGGGCAGAAAGGAACTTGAGCTCCAACACAGCGGAGCATATTTCCAGGCTCACAGGCAGACTGGCTGAGCAGGGCCACAGTCGACCAGTTGGAGTGGTGCCTGCACCCAGATCTAGTTCAGGAGGCGGTTCAGAGATTCGGTCTGCCAGTTATAGATCTGTTCGCTTCTCCCCTGAACACACAGCTCCTGAGATTCATTTCGAGATACCCATCCCAGGGGGTGAAGAACATCAACACCCTCTCTTGCCCGGTGGCTCTATGCCTTCCCCTGTCTCCCGCTGATACCCAAAGTGATCCAAAAGCTGCTGGACGAGAAAGCGGAACTGATCTTGGTGGCACCATACTGGCCCAGGAGGCCGTGGTTCACAGATCTCAGGGGTCTGTCCACAGAAGAACCATGGAAAATTCCATCGCACAAAATTCTGCTCACCCAGGGACTGATCCAACACCTGGACCCTCAATGGCTACACCTAGCCATTTGGAGGTTGAGCGGAGACATCTAAGAAAGAAGAATCTCTTGACCAGGGTGATCAACACCATTCAAGCAGCTCGGCGCCCTTCTACGAGCCGTATATATAATGCCACATGGACTATCTTTTATAAATGGTGCACCAAATCCAAGGTGGAGCCATTTTTGCTGTCAGTGGCACAAGTTTTGGAGTTTCTTCAAGATGGTCTTGACAGGGGTCTCTCTCCAAACACTTTAAGGTGTTGGCTATTGCCTCGGTGGTGACCTGGGAAGGTCTAACATTCATCTCCTACCACCCACAGATAAAGAGTTTTCTTCGGGGTGCCACAAATTTAACTCCACCAGTGGTACATCGTTACCTTAACAAGGTACTCACAGGGACCTTAACAAGGTACTCGCAGCACTCACGAAGGGTCCATTTGAACCACTGAAAACTACTAGTCTCCATTTTCTCACATACAAGGTAGTTTTCCTCATAGTTATAACATCAGCATGACATATCTTGGAAATAGCGGCTCTATCGGCCCGAAAGAACTTTTGTATATTCCATACTCACAGAGTGGTTCTTTGACCAGACCCCACATTCATATCAAAAGTCAATTCTGCCTTCCCCAGGGCACAAGAACTTGTGCTCCCAAATTTTTGCCCCAGGCCTTCTCGGGGCCTAGAGCATCAATGGCACTGACTTGATGTCTGCAGAGCTCTCTGTATGGCTCCTTTCAGGAGGACTGAACGGCTCCTTTCAGGAAGACTGAAGCCCTTTTCGTATCTTTTCAGCCAACCATTCAGGGGCATAAGGTCTCACCTTCAACTATAGGCAGGTGGCTGAAAGCCACGATAGCCAAGGTGTACGAGATTCAATCATTACCCGTGCCTAGGGGCATCATGGTGCATTCAACAAGGAGTACGACAACTTCAGCGGCCTGGGCCACACAAGCTCCTATAGCAGAAATATGTAGAGCGGCAACATGGCTCTCTCCATCACCTTTCATTCAGCATTACAAAATTGACGTATTTACTTCTGCTGAGGCCTCCTTTAGGAGGGTGTTACAACGGGTCCACTCAGACAAAGACCCTCCCATAGGACAAGCCAAGCTTTGGTGTATCCCACTCTCTGGATGCTCGGAGCAGTTCAATGGAGAAGGGGCGTTGGTACTTACCTGATACGCCAGTTCTCAGTGAGCTGTGACGAGCATCCAGCCCCACACAATATCCGTCTGGTAGGATCCTTTTCCGGCCAACGAAATCTGGAAATTCGTAAAACAAACAAACAAACATAACAAAGAAGAGGGTGGGGTTTGCATCACCTCGTCTTTGCCAAAATTGGGGGATGCTAGGGAGGAGTCAGGGGGGAGTAAGAGCATTCTAACAATTAAGCCCAGCCTATCCAAGCAGAGACTAAGCACCTCCCACTCTGGATGCTCGTTGCAGCTCACTGAGAACGGGCGTATCAGGTAAGTACCAACACCCCTTCTTTCCTTGTTTAATGAGCATTTTGGTGCAAAAATTGGTAAAGATGGCAAAAAAGGTACATGCATTATATATAATTGGTGTGAATTAAAATGTTTAGGATAATTTGCTATAAGAAAGTGCTAAAAATAGGGGAAAACAGAAGTTAATCAATTGCATGTGCACTGTTCTGAAATGTATCTCTAATATTCCTCCTCAAGAGTCTGTGTTACATTGTACATCTATATAGTTATAAGCTAGCTTCATGTCTATTTTGGTTTCTGAGCATTTTGTGTATTAATTTTAAAAATGCATGAACAGGATCTGCTGAAACTCATGAATGTGGCAGTGTAGATGGTAGCAGTATTTTTACAAAAATCTCTGTGTTGAGCCAGGAGCACCTGCAGAGAGGAATAACTATTAGCATAAAATAAGACTGTATTTCCAAGTCTTCTATGTTACACCATTCTACTACTTTACTTAACTGTTCTGTAATTTCAAACTATAGGTAGTTTGCAAAGTTGAGAAGAAGAAGCAGCAATCCAATTCTGTGTTGTTTCCCAAAAGAGAATGTGGAAGTGTTCCATGCAGTCACTAGAAACTGAACTGAATTTGTAGGAGACATTCTCTTTTATTTATTAGCCAGTAACATTCTGTTCACATAACTCATAGTTTTCTTTTGTGTTTTGTCATTCCGGACCCTAGAAATAGTCTAAATTTACTGAAAATCCAAATCTTTTTATGTCCAATGTGGGAAAGAGGTGAAAACCTATCATAAAGAGCCAGTGTGTTATAGTGGTGTTAGCTCTTTGAGGTTGTCCAAACAAGAAGCATTGCTAGAAATATCAGCACTATTTTTATTGTAAATCTGTGAGTCTTCCTCTTGTCTCCCAAGGTCATTGCTATATCATAGCAATAGCACTTAGACTTATATACTGCTTCACAGTGCTTTACATCCCTCTCTAAAACATTTATAGAGTCAACATATTGTTCCCAACAATCTGAGTCCTCATTTTACTGATGTGAGAAGAATGGAAGGCTGAGTCAACTTTGAGCCAGTGAGAATTGAACTGCCGAACTTCTGGCAGGCGGCAGTCAGCAGAAGTAGCTTGCAGTACTGCATTCTAACCACTGCGCCACCACAGCTCCATCATAAGTGGCTATGGTGTTAGTCTGGCACCCGAGAGACCCAGAACCTAATTACCTTCAGCCACAGAAGTTTTGTATATAATTTTATATTAGGAATGCTCTCTCAGCTCAACGTACTTCACAGGTTTGTTGTGGGGAAAAAGTAGGCAAAGGCAATGCAATGTAATGGATGCCACCTTGAACTTCTGTGTGAAAAATAGAACAAAATTTTAACAAATAATTTGCCTTAGGAAATGAATACTGTTTTTCCATCCTAATTATTTTAAATATAAAATGAACAATTTCTGAATTTTTAATAACTGAATGGACCTAATATTTAACTCTTCTCATGGACACAACAATATGTTCTTTCCATTCCCAACAGAGGTCTTAACTGAAGAGAGGTTCAGTGTAAGTTAACATATATATTATTGTTTTCCCATTCTGATTTTGTCCTTAAGAAACAAACATTTGTTTCTTAAGGACAAAAAGTCTCCTAGGGAAACTTTTCCATATAAATTTATTTGCTGAGGAATCCAATGCATTTCTGGTTTGTCAGGCTTTTTCTTCACTCCAAGTGAAATGTTGTCTTTGAACAAATCCAACTCTTCCACTTAGTCTTTTTTTCCCCCAGGACAAAAATCAATACTAGTAGAACTGCTTTTCAGGGAGGAATTATTGTCTTGTTATCCTCCTGTCAGTGTGTGTAGTGAGAGAAAAAATAATGGGGGGTGGGGGGAAAGAAAGACTAATTCCACCATACAAGATAAAGTTGACCAGCTGAGTTGTTAGTTTCAGCCCTTAGCCAAACTAAGTAGGTTTAGAGAAAGACCAAATTGGAAATTATCAGACAAGCAGAAAATGACTAATAGTCCTCCATTTTTTCTGTTTCCAAGGATCTGGGAACTACTTTATACAAAGTGCCATATATCTAGTACTGAAATCTCATTAGCTGAAGGAGGAAAGCCCACAGCATTTGGGATATCTGCATTTTGACGTTTTCTTCACTCATTAATGGCAATAAATAACTTGAAGGTAGAAAGAAAAAATAATGTGTTGAATGTAGACTATACAAATGAGACTATGTCATTTATGAGTTTGGAATTTTTCCTAAAATAGTTTAATAGTATTATGTAGGTTATAAAAACGTATTTAAACGTACTTGCAAAATTCAGATAGAAGCGGTGTGTTGATTAGGCTTTCATCTTCTGGTATCCTTTCCCTTTTTTAAGAATATTTTTTTTCCTTAGAAAAGCAGAAACTGAGGGGAAAAGGGGGAATGGAGTATAAGCATACTTCCTAAAGTAGTAAAGCTCATATTTTATAATTACACCTTCAACTTATGAGAGCAATGCTGATAAGAAGAACTGATCATTGTCAATTGGCTGTGGGCCTTTCAGTGTAATACATCATATGGGACTCTGAAGATTCAAGAGCTCCCTTAATCTTTGGCAAAAAGATTTCATGAACATGATAGCCTTGGAAGCAGCATATTTTGAGGATTATTGCATATATGTATAATTTCTACATAGACAACCTAACAGCTCTTGGATTAGTGAATCACTGTAGAATTTTGACACCATAGAGTGACAATATCAAGTTTATTTAACCTAATTATTCACATTTTTGTTTTTTTCTTTGTTTTCTTTTTAGATGACATCTATTTGGAGCAGCAGAACTTTTCTTCTCTTTTGCTGAGTCAAAGCATTGTGGTTAACAAGACACACACAGCCTTAACTGAAAGCACAAGAGATTCCAGGACAAATACAGAGTTTCCTGAGTTATCATCACCAGTAACCACTCCTTTTGAAATGACCTCATTGGACCAAGAACGGGGGAGCAGAGCCTCAGTTCAACAAAATGGACCAGCACTGGATTTTTCAGTAACAAGCAATGAAGCCATCTTAAGCGACGATAGTTTTATTAGTTCAATTTCAAATGCACAACAGACTCCTTCACTGAAATCTTTTGTAGAAGATGATCATTTGGGTTCCTATCCAGTAAAGCCAACTAAAGAAACACTACAGACTTTATTGTTAGCACCTTCACTAGCTGTCTCCTCTTTGCCACTTGATTATGTGGGAACATTGCAGACAACACTGCAAAGGGCTGCCTCTGTCCCTCATATATCTCTCCCACACTTGAAGTCTTTTGATGGGATGAGTATTAATCTAACCCCATACAGAGACTTGCTCATGCCTCAGACTGACTTACATTCTGTTGCATTAGAAATGGCAGATGCAAGTATTGGAAAAGAAGGGGAGACTTTGCCATCTTATCTTTTCTCTTCAACTTCTTTGCTTTTTGATACTACTGTAGAACAGTCGCCTACATATCACAATACACAAAGAACTTACACATATCCAGAAGCTCACTATAGTATCAATAGCAGTTTAACTGGAACACTGGGTCCAAAATATTCATCTGTCCTAAGCATTCCTACTTCATTAGCAACTATGTTTTCAACCCATTTTCCTTTTGTTTATCCTCATACCATTTCCTACACAGAGGCACCTGCTTTCAGTACTCCTTTTAATGAGATGTTTTTTACACACGAACTGTCCCAGAAATTCTCCAGGAATTCTGCATCAATTTTTCCCAGCTACTCAGAAAACAAACTCAGTGATTCCAAAAGTCCAGTGCCTTTCACTGAACCATATACATCATGTTTGTATTGTGACTTAATCTCAGTTTCTCCAGAATCATTTTTTTCAGTGCGACTCACGGAAAACGAGGTGGGTTCAGGCGAGTATGGTGAGACGCTCTCATTCGTGGTCTCTGATGTAAAGAGCATTGCATCACTTACATCAGAAATGAGTGACTTCTATGACATGCCTGAACCCCCTCCTGAAATCTTTGATACTAGTTTTCCATCAAGACCTGTTGTTTCACTTTCTTCAAGATTTACTGAACTCTCTGAGTCAAATTCTGTGGAAATTAGCCTTAAAAGTATATTTACATCCATTTCCCCATCCCATTTCTATAGCCAGTCTTCTGAAATTATATCATTGGAAAACAGCCTAGTTAATTTCTCCTATTCTGTGTCCGAATTAGTTACAGTGGAATCTAGTACAGGCATTATGGGAAAATCGTTTTCTAAAGTGGCTATGATTTCTCCAGAATCTGTCTTCATGGAGAATATGAGTATGTCTTCCATGACAATGGAAAATTCAATTTTGCTGGAAACATCTGAATTTATGCCGTCAGAAATCACACATTTATTTAGCACTGCACTTGAGTATTTTGCCACAGACGACTCAGCTATCAATAGATCAGACATTGTATCCAGCCTTTCATTCAGACCCTTTTCCTCTGAACCAACTGATCTGTCCCATTTATCATCTGCTATGGACACATCTTTTCTAGCAATGCCAAGTGATTTATCAACGCCTTTACCTCATATTTTGCCCACACTCCTTCCATCATCTGTGCTTTTTGACAATTCATCTGGTTGGAGTTCAGTTGAGCAACCAGCTATTGACATCACAAGTATGGAGGCTTCTCTAGTCTCTTCATGGCAAAGTTCATTTTTTAATTTAAGCTCATCTTCTTTTCCAGTTATGCACAGTTCTGCGGTGATGCCATCATCACATTTCTATATGAACTCCATCTTACAAGAACCAACATCAATCTTGATGGTAGAATCTGAATTTTATTTTACCTCAGCTTTCACAGAAGCTACCTCTCACTTTGAGTCTTATTTCACTATTGATACCATGTTAACACAGCAGCTACCTGTGTCAGCTTCACAGCCTGTTTTCACCAGCAACATCTATGGGGATAATACACATGTGAGCTTGTGGTTCACATCATTGCAGTCAACCCCTGTCTTAACTTTTTCACCTTTTTTGTTAACTACAGCTATCGTTGAAGATAGTGGTGCTACTGCTAATTTCAGTCCATTTTCTTCCTTCACTGAGGTACCTTCTACCACAGATTTTTTTAAAACCACTCCTTATACACCGTTGTCAGCAGATATGAACAGCAGTGTAATTTCACCTACTGGACCAATGGTTGTAGAGACATCTTCATTTGTGAATACTGCAGTTGAATCTGATGTTCTAACAAAAACTAGCATGACTGAGCATATTAGTATGACAGCTTTTACTACCACCACTTCCAGTAGCAAAATAGGACTTTCTTCAGTTACCAGTACGTCAAGTTCTTCTATATCCTCTTCAACCTCTATCTGGACCCCTACACAGGTTACAGTGGCAACCATTCCAACTACCATGACTAAACAGCCTTATGTTTGCGACATTACAGTCCCTGATAAATACCTGGTAACAACTGGTAAGATTTTTTTTACTTACATTTCTCCTTAAATATATATTTATACCACACTTCTATGGTATTGTAGTAGAGAAAAATTAACTGATGTGATAGGACTGCAAATCTCTTGAACAATGCCCTAACTTTGCTGCTGTAATATTGTTTTTTCATATAATCTATTCTAGCATTTCTATTATTTAAAATGCTGTACGTAATAGAGATTGATTTGGGAATAGAATATTCATTGAGACTATGCTAAACCTCTTTTGGACCAGCCCATTCCTAAACTGCTTCATCAATTTCTGGGAGTACATTGAAAGTGACTTGAGGTGTCCCAGATTTGGAGATCTGGATGAAACAAACTTGTTCTGGGGTTATGTAACCTTCTATCCACTTCAAACTAGTTCCAGTTTAGATGATTCAGTTCCAGTTTGATTCATGTCCAAATGCTAAACTTCCTTCCATTTAATTTTCAAAAAGTCAACCTTCCCTAAGCTGCCATCCTCTGGCATGTTGGAACTGAGCCACAGTGGTGCAGTGGTTAGAGTACAGTACTGCAGGCTACTTCTGCTGACTGCCAGCTACCTACAATTTGGCAGTTCAAATCTCACCAGACTCAAGATTGACTCAGCCTTGTATCCTTCTGAGGTGGGTAAAATGAGGACCCAAATTGTTGGGGGCAATATGCTGACTCTGTAAACCACTTAGAGAGGGCTGTAAAGCACTATAAAGCAGTATATAAGTCTAAATGCTGTTGTTATTGCTAATTGCAATTTCCAGAACTCTAGGCTAACCTTTTAGACACTGCGGTTCCAATACAATGTGATAATTCCAAATTAATACGGTTGCTGAAATGCATATTATTATCTTTTGTCTCATTTAAAAGTGTTGAAAGTGTGTAGAATTCAGTCCAAAAAGGGACAGGCTTAGCTATTAGGATACATTATGAAATGCTTCATAGAAGTGAGGTAATTGGTAATCCTAAATTTGCAGTTTTGTTTAACTGGATGCTATAGGAATATTCTCTAGCCCTATTTGTTTGTATGAGTGTTGAGGAGTCAGCCGAAGTTTGCATGTTTAAATATATGTTAGAAATCCAGTGCTGGGTGTGGAAGACCAATTCTAAGTTCAGAATATGTCAGAAACAGGGAAATAATTGTTTAGCAGCTAATTGCTTTCCCAATTTTTCATTTCAGCAGCAATTTTTTAACACTAAGTTATGTGGCTGTCTGAACAAATTTTCTGTAGGTAGTGCTTCTTTAGAATACATCTACAGGGAGGGTGGGTCTAGGACAGTGGTGGCTAATCTTTTTGGCACCAAGTGTCCCAAGTACGCACATATCCCCAAAATGCAACGTGCACGAGTGCCCTGTGCATGCATTCCGCCTCTGTGACAGAGCTGAGCTGAGGCAACAGCTCATGTGCCCAGAGAGATGCCTCTGAGTGCCACCTCTGGCATGCGTGCCATAGGTTCACCATCACGGGTCTAGAACAATTAGCCTTGGCTGACTCACCGTGGTCAATTTGCCCCAGTTGTCTCACCCTGGCTGATTCACCAAGGCCAACTTGCCACAGCCAACCCACCATAGGACAAGTCACTGTGAGACAGTTAAACACAGTATAATTCAAGAGAGGAGCAAGTGAATTGCAGTGGGCCTTGTTTTGCTTTAGGTTCAAGGTTCAAGCCTAAGCAAGACAAGGCCTACTGCAATTCACCTGTCCCTCTCTTGAGTTATCCTGCATTGAATTGTCCCATGATAAGTTTTCCTGCAGCAAGTTGGCTGTGGTGAGCCAGCCAGGGCGAGTTGTCCCATTCCAATCCGAGAAGAAGCAATGAATAGGAGGGAATGCATGGTAGAAGTGAATGATATAGTCAATAGTAGCAGCAGCAATAGAACCTAAGAAATTGGTCTTTGTTCTGTCTCAGATATGAGTCTTTTTGGATGGTTATGACTGGCACTTTGTGATTATATATCTCTGCTTGGTTTCTGACTCTAGAATGAGAAATAACTCTAGGGCAGGGGTGTGAACCACCCTGGAAACAGCAGAGGCGGTGCCTCTGCCAGAGAAAATGGAGCTCCATTTTCAGCCGCAATGGACTCCTGCAGCCCTCTGCCAACGTAAACGGAGCTCGGGGGAGGGGGGCTGTGCATGCCCCCCCCCCAAGCTCTGTTTTTCCTGGCAGAGGCCTAGCAGAACAAACTAAAAACAAAACAAAAGGAGACATGTTTCCCCCTTTGCATTTGAGCATCCAAGAAGGGACAGGAAAGGAGAAAGGGAAAGAGGAAAGACAAAGAAAAAGAAGGGAAGATGGGGAGAGAGCAAGGAATGGAAAATAAGGAAAGAGGGGAAGGAGGAAGAAAGGTGAATGAAGAGAGAAGGAAAAGGAAAGAAGGAAGGAAGGAAGGAAGGAAAGAAGGAAGGAAGGAGATTATAATGAGAGTGAGGGAGGGTCTGAGGGAAGTCCTGCCTTAGCACTTGGCTACCACAGGTGTCCCCGATACGAGTGATGTTGAACTGGCCATGCCTACCTTGGCCATGCTCACCCCGGTCTCCTGAGGTCAAACACAACCCTGATGCGGCCCTCCCTGAAATTGAGTTTGACACCCCTGCTCTAGGGCTTGCATTTCTTAATAGCGACGCTATTGTTATTTTTATAAAGAAAATTAATTCCTCCCAGTTCTCTAGTTATCCCTCTATCTGAATTGTTGCATCTAAATCTATATATACTTCTGATAGTATCTAATACTTCTAATACTTCTTTATTGATTCATCTTTTCAGAACTAGCACGGAAATCTGTAGTACAAAATATCAGTGAATCCATCAAAGAAATCCTGAAAAATGAATTTAGGAGAACGGTAGAACTAGAGGTAAGTGATAGAGAGTTTGCTCTGTGAAGATCGTTATATGAGTTAGAGACATTTACATAGAAATAACTAATGAAGGTGGTAGTAGCTTGGATATTAACTGATAACCGACAACCAAATCCAAAGTGTGTGCGTCTTCACATGGTGTCACATAATATGATGGGGGTGTCCTATTCTTTGCTGATCCAGGAAGCTTCAGAGTAAGCTCTTGAATCTGCTTTTGTGAATATTATTAAAATAATAGATAAAATCAGTTCAGTTCTACTTTGCAAAACAAACAACTGCTGATTTTTCCCCCAGGGTAGCAGTCAAAATTGGGATGTGATTATAATTTTCAGAAATATATAGTTGCAACCCATAGACCATGGACATTACACAACTCCTTTCATAATAGCCTCAGATTGTATTGCTGAAATTCAGGGGCAAAAACATCCATTTTCAGAAATATGATTTTCCTGTCTTCCCCCCTAAAAGAATTGAGTAGCTGCCTTCCAAAGTTCCCCTTCCTCTAATGAACTGAAATACTTTGGCTTTGCCTGCTTTGATTATACCATTGTGTCATTTGTTATACCTCCTGCAAATCTTGGTGTCTGAAAAAAATGGTTGATCCAGTTTTGTGTAGAGGTTAAGGTACCAGGCTATAAACTGGGAGTCCATGAATTCTAGCCCTTCCTTAGGCATGAAGCTAATTGGGTGACTTTAGGCCAGAGGTGAGTCACGTCGTCACTGCATCGTCACTGCATCGTCAGGTGATGTATCAGGATTTTTCCCCCTTTGCTAAACTGGGTTGGGGCAGGGCCAGCATGTGATGCATCCAGCCCACAGGCTACGAGTTTGACATCCCTGCTTTAGGCCATTCAGTTTCTTTCAATCCTAGGAAGTAGACAATGGCAAACCACTTCTGAAATCTTGCCAAGAAAACTGCAGGGACCTATCTAGGCAGTTGCCAGAGTCTATGTGACTCAAAGGCACACAGACAGACAGACAGACAGAGATATCTTGGTAGCTGAAAAAAAATGATTTCTGATGTAGCACGTTCACTGTTGTGTGTTTTGTTGCTTAGAGTTAAGTCTCATGGCAATGAAGAATAGTAGAAAACCACAGGGATTAGAGAGTACTGATGCAGGAACAAAAGATGCTTCATAAAGGCCATTTGTCATCTGATATTAAAAAGAGAGAAAAAACAGGAAAACAGAGAACAATCTTAAGAATGTACTCTTTGTTGCATCAGTGCTCTCTTCATAAGAGAAAAATAAAATAGATGAGAGGTATTTGAAAGTATTAAAAATACTCTGGTTGAAAACAACAAAGAATTCTGAGATACCTGGCAATTAAAATATACATATATTGAAATCTGATCACCAGTTCTCAGCTGTATTAACAATCTTATTCCCAATAGATTAAAAATACATCTGTACAAATGCTATTCTCAGTAGAGTTATTGAATATGGATATATTTTCCCCCTTTTATATCATAATGGGTAAGTCTGGATTCCACCCAGCATTTTTTCATTTGTGATTCAAACCTCAGCTGAACATTAAAATCTAAAAACCTGTTTAAGCAGGTTACTGATATATGTAATGGCTAGGATCAGAATAAAGCAAATGAAGCTTAATTTAGATGTTTCTGATCACCCGAGAAGCTTACTAGAAAATAGAAATTTAAATTATGTTGGGTGGAATTTCTTAAACTCCTGGATATAATCTTGACTGAAGTTCCAGCTTTCAGAAATGTTTAGAAGTGTGTTTGCACAGCTACGGTTAGTTCATTAGATGCACACATTTCTTAAATAATGTGTCAAGAGGACCAAGTTCTAGCCTAACAAACACTCTCTTTGAAAAAGTTTTTTGGAAACTTCCTCTGCCACAAACTTCTATGATCTAAATGTTAAACTGAGATTAGTTATAAGAAAGAAAAATTAATAATTTACATCATTCTGTATCTGAGCAAAATTCAAACTCCTGGTTGTAGGGTATTTGAAAATTCATGTTCCATTATATAAGCTGTCTGCAAGTCAATGTCTAAGGGAGAGTTAAAATTTGCCTTTTTCCTTTAATGAAATCTGGGAATTGGTATTATTATAGTTTGGTTGAGGGTCATTTGTACTCCTACTTATCTGCCTTTATGGATACTCATTATTATTGATGATATTGCTGGAATTCCAACCCTTTAAAGCAATCCTATCCTTTTTTCTTCAAGAATCAGATCAAATTCAGGAATCTTGCACTGCCCAATTATAAATAGACATGTATCTAACATTTATGTATGATATAAAAAAGATACATAAATTAATGTAAGCTGCAGCAATAATTGGTATTGTGGGCCCCACAGGCACCAATGTAAGACTCCTATAGCACTTATTTTCTGAAAACATTTGATGTATGTCCTACCAGTCTTATAAGATTATCTCCCCTTGAGTTCCCTTGATCACATTCCATCACTCAAATTTGTAAACAGAATTGAACAAATATTTTTGAAATCCTAGTTTTATTGTTCCTTATGCATACCTGTATATCCAGTTTCCCCTTGATTTACACTTCAAGCCTCTGATGAATATCATTTGAGCTCCAATCAATTTACAGGTCTGCTGCATTTTTTTAACCAATAATGCATATAACCTTCCATGCTTGATCTGTCCTCCAGAAATCATTTATCTTAAAGCAAGAAGTCATATTTCTGCACTTAACTCATGCTTGCATTATGATTGAGTGGTATCATTGCCTGCTTTCTCTCTTGGGCAGAGAATAGTTTCCATTCCTAATTACAACAAGGTAAATCTCAACTGCTCTCACCTCCCTTAAGAAAGAGATTTATGTCTTGCAATGGAATTTTGCTAAGATAGCTATGTTTTGAAATTAACTGCTGTGCAGCTTAATAACCTCCACTAATGACTTGTTGTCAGATGGCTTGGAAATGCATTCCCTAGTGTGAAACTCTTGCAAACAAAGTTGGCTTGCTGTTAAATTTTCTAAATGAATTGGTTTATGTAAAATACAGTTCAATGGTAAATGTTTACATGGATTCCATGGTTTTGCTTTTCCATGGTCCTTCACATTTTGTGTTATGGCTTGCAAGATGTTTTCTTTTATTTGTGATTGTGCAAGAGAATCATTTTTAATGCAAGAGAATCATTTTTTAATGCGACACCAATTCAAGCTTTAGAAGACACAAACATGTGTGGCTCCAATTTAACATTAATGATTCAGCCTTAACATAAGAAGCATAAAACATGTAAAGTTGTAACTTTTTATTACAACAGTACCTGGCAGAGAAAAGAAATGAAAATCTCTTAGACTCAGCAAGTTTTCACTCTGATTAAGAAAATGTGAGGTTACATGAAAAAAAAAAAAAACAAGTCATCAGTTGCTCTATAGTTTTGAAGTGCGTTCCTATTGCATTATTTAGGAATACCTATATTAGTGCAATATTTAGGAATACCTATATTAGTGTTCAATATAGCGTAGAAATATTATTTTATTATTGTTACTACTATCGGGATATGACAGAGATTTGGTTAGGCTGCAAAAGGAATGGGTGGTGGTGGAGTAATTTAAGATGGATAATTATGGAATCATAATGGTCATATAAATCTATGATCTTGTTGTAAAATAATTAATTTACAGATATAGGACTTATTTATGTAAGTTTGGAAGAGGTTGGGCATTTTAGGTTTCATTTCAAAGAAAGAAATTATGCAACAAAAATTGGTAAATTAAAAGTTGGTAAATTAAGCCAAAAACTGTTTACATACTAAACAGTTAAGGCATGATCCTTCTTTTAAAACGTTTATTGTAGCTGTTACCAGAGTTCAATCACCTGGCTTAATGGGAAATCATGATTATGAGAAAAGTGTGCCACAGTGTCAAAACACAAGAGTCTACAACACAAAAGTTGCATTTAGGCCTTACTGAAAACATGTATGAAGTGTGCATGGGAGTAGCAACTTTAAATCAAGCATTATTTCCTGGAGCCATACGAGTCCAGGAAAAAAAGCACTTCATTAAGTAGTTGCTATCCATCTTTGACATGAGCATTCCCCTGTATTCTAAAATTATTTTTCCCCTTTGAACCTGAATTGCTGTATAGTAACGTTTACTATGATTTATGAACCAAGGCTGATTAATGTAGTTGAACCATCCCTTTAAGTTTAAATGCAGGAGATCACTAACCTTCTGACAACATCTGGAAAAAAACATGTTGAAAATTGAAAAGCCACAGCAATTTACTGAACAGACTGGCTGGAATGTTTTGGGGTGCTGATGCTAACATCCTACAAACAACAGCCTTGGCATTGGTTTATTCCACAGCAAAATATTATGCCAGCATGTTGCTTTAACAGTGCCCACACCCAAATGGTTGATGCCAACTCCACCAGACAATGCATATTATTTCTAGTACATTGCATCCTACTCCTGTGCATTGGTTACCAATACTTAGCAATATCATACTGCCCCATATTAAAAGTCAACAAGCTCTCATCCCGATATGTTCAAAGATGCTGAACAACAAAGCCCACCCTATTCAAGAGGACAATGCACAGCCCATCAAATGGTTGAAATCTTGTAGGCCACTATTTGCTTAACCATCTATCCAGTTTAATTCTGAGAATATCTGGAGAGAGGAATGGTCCAAGGCACCTTTTTGTGGCTTGACCATTGATAATCCCTCTATCAAACCACCTGGTTTTAACCTGTCCCTGTCTGGTTGATAATGAACAGAATTAGGTTCGATACTGGAAGAAGTGCTTCTGCTCTGTATCAGTGGAGATGGAAAGATTCCCCTTGTTGTGATTGTGGTGCTTATATACAAACTATTAAACGTATTGTGTAAGATTGCCCATGACATGCCTTCCCTGGTTCTCCAGAAGATCTGCACAAAGCAATGCCAGAGGCGATCACCTGGATAGCTGAATTGGACATCCAGTTATGAGGCCACTGCCATACCCCTATAAAAGTTTTGTATAAAATTATGCAGATTGTGTGTTTACTTCTCTTTTGTCATGTTCTTATCATATGCTAATAGTGGCTGAAGACATTCATTACCACAACTAGTGCACAGAAATCTTTCTATAAAAAGATGATGCAGTGCAGAAAATAGTGCTACTTTTAGGGATTTAAAACGCTCTTATTTTTAATACAGGTGTACACGCTTTCTCCCAAATTCTCTTTTCTGGTGACCTCGGGGCCTTTTGTTTACACGGCAATTGCTGTCATCAATGTATTGGTGAACAGCAGCCTTCTATATGGTGAAACACCTCTCATTTCATCAGTGCAACCATCTCTTCCTGCTCCTGCTCTCCAGTTCCGAGTGCAAACTGGTAAGCCTCTTTGTATTGTTTCTGTGCTGAGAAAGAATCATGGACTTTTGATGATCCAAGATTTGTTGAAGGGAAGACACTTGAAACGCAATTTAGGATTAATACACTCCAAATCCAAGATGTGTGCATCTGTTCAAAAATAATATTATTTAGATTTCTTGCTATTGGTAGAAAAATCAGTGTATAAATGAAAAATGGAGAACAGAAGTTATTTTCTCCAAGGTGAGCTCCTATGTATTAATTGAGTTCATGCAATTTTCATTCACCTGGTGTTGATCTTTTAAACAAAGAACATTAGGAGGTCCCAAAGTTTTCATTAGCCCAGGGCATTCTTTCTATTGTCCCTAATGGATAATAAAGCATGACTGAAAGAACCAGTAGAAGGGAGGTACAGAAGTATAAGCATTCATGCATTAATTTAGTATAGATATAGCAGGATGCTAGAGAGAAATAAGGATGAGTCTACAATCACTTGCATTAGATTGGTTATAAGTATTCATTATCTTATGTACATGACTAGGTGACATAAATTAGATAAATAAAAACTGTGTTGCTAGAATTTTACTTGAGGGGTGAATTATACAATTGGAATACCAAATAAAGTATTGATATTGCTTGGATCTCCATAATATACTAAACCACAATGTGGTCTCTTTGATTTTGGCTAGCATGTTGTATGAACTCAGCCACTGAAGATTATAAATCATGGTGTATTATTTAGAATGTTATGCAGACCCAACCATTTGTGGGTTTTTTCCCCCATTAAATCATGATGTAACCATGATGTATGAAACAGGTCATTGGGGCTAAAGACTGCTCCTACCTTCCAACCTTAGAATAGATTTCCCGTTCCAGCCTTGTCATCTCTAGCCAGAAGTACTAAACTTAAATCTAGTAACACAAATTTAATTTTCTACTTCTAGTCCTTCAGTTTGTACCTCGAAGTATTGACATTGGGTTCTGTAACTTCAGCCAGCGCATTGAAAAAGGACTGAGGTTTGCCTTTGAGGAGGTGAGAAAGCATCATCAGGATATTTCCAACTTCACTGTGCAGGTAAGACAAGAATCTCCTGAAATGGAAACTACATCTTCTCTTGTCTGCTCTCCTCTGCTTTCCCCAATGCTGAATTTTATGGGGATACTAACCATAGAGACATCAATCGTGATTATGCTAGCTACATGTTGAAATGTTTTCAAAAGTTCTTTCTAACATGGTCTTTTCAGATACTAAATATAACTCTGGGTCAGCCCAAAGCAGTGTTTCGGCAAGGCCCTGTGCAAATTATATTTGCCGTTCGAGAGAAGCGTGGATTCCTGAATGGGTCTGAAGTTAGTGAACTGCTAAGAAACTTGTCTGTGGTAGAGTTCAGTTTTTACCTGGGCTTCCCAGTGCAGCACATTGCAGAACGTGAGTAAACTTGAAATTATTTTTATTTATTTTATCTGTTAATCAAGTTTATGTCATCTCATAAGAAGCGCTCTGGGCAGCATACAATAATCAGTTAAAAAACAATCCTTTAAAAGTTATAAAAATCAGCATTAAAATGGAGATTAATTCAAACTAAACTATATTAAAATCCCCAACCACAGAGAGAGTGAGTATATCCACCTCAGTAAATGGGCCAACTAACAAATCTTCGGTTCCCTCTGGTCTGGTAGTATAACCAGATCTTGAGAAACTTCCAGAACATCAAAAGGGATAACTAAATTTGTGTGTGGAATGTTCCATAAGGCTGGCTCCATGGCAGAGAACACCCACAACCTGGAGCCTACTAAATATAGCTCCCTGACAGATGGTATCCATAGTATGCTCTCTGCCAGATTTAATGGCCCAGGCTAATATAACTGGGGAGAGGTGGTCCCTCAGAGAGCCCAGTCCCATGCTATAAAGGGCTTTAAAAGTTAAAACCAGCAGCTTGAATTGGACCAAGAAGCACTCTGGCAACCAGTCCCACTGAGAGGTATGATACTGATAGTCCTTGACTTATGACACTAATAGAGTCTGTCCATTACTGTTGGAAGTTCGAATCTACATTAAATGATCCATGTCATTAATGACTTCCCCCTGCCTATGCTCCCCAGTGCATTCATTAACCCCCATGGGGTTACTCACGGGTAGGGGAGACCATGGGAGGCCTAGTGCAGGCACAGCCCACCTGCATTAGCTCCCACAAGGCCTCTGAGATAACCTGTGATCTGCTTCCTGCCCCTTGGGTTCCCCAAGCCCTAGAGGCCTTCTCTGTACTTCACCCTGCCACAATCACACACTTACCTTTCAAAGCTATTCAGAGCTCCAGTTCCCTGAGCTCTGGATATCTTCAAAAGGCAAATGACCAGGGTGGGTGGGGAGGAGGCTGCTGTTAGGCATCCAGAATTGTCCATGGTAATCAATCACTCCGAGACAAGTATAATCTCCAACTGATTTATTAGGGACAGCTCTGGTACTTCTATTCAATTTCAAAACTGAAAGTTATTTTCAGGGTGTTTCGCAAAATCTACCTTCTCTCCTCCTCTTCATTAATCATGAGAACCAATTAACTGCTGCTGGAATTTTTTAATGTGACATACAAAATAACCTTGAACTTTCCAACTCCTCCACCCCCTTTTGCATTCCTTATAACAATCTTGGCAGCTGAATCTCAGAGCTGACAGCTGCTTTACCAGTAAGATGGTAAAGCAGACCCAATACCTATGGGAATCCAACAGGGCAGGATGAGGGGGAAATAGATGGGTAGGCATGCTACAGAATCTCTGTGGTCAGTCATAAGGGTGAATAACCATGGGGCACTGCAGGCGTTACTTGGAAATGGATATGTATGTAACGTTTTTGTGGGGGGGTGTTGTAACTTTGAATGGTCATTAAATGGCCAGTCATATCTCAAGGACTACCTGTATGTGTCATTCTAGGAGCACACATAATTACCCCTACTGCTGAATATGGCATCAGCTGAAACTTCTGAGTTATTTACTCACTTACTTATTTTATTTAATATCCTGCCCTAGTTTTATATATGCATATAAACAACCCAAGGTGACAAATATATCTTATACTCCTTCTTCCTCCTGTTTCCCCCACAACAACAATTTTGTAAATTACGGTATGTTAGGTTGAGAGAAAGTAACTGGCCCAAGGTCATCCAACAGGCTTTCATGGCTATGATGGAACTAGAACTCACAATCTCCCGATTTCTAACCTGGCACCTTAACTATAGACCAAACTGGCTCTTCAAAGATAGCTCATGTAGAATGCATTACAATGGTTCAGTCTGTAGATGATGAGCATATGAGAGCAGAGCCTCTTGATCCAGGACAGACACAACCAGGGCATATCCCAAAGCTGTGCAAAGGCCCTTCTAGTCACAAGTGCCACCTGATCCACAACCAAGAGTTGTGAGTTTAGTAGGACACCTAGATTGTGCACTGGCAAGTGTGACTCAATTCTGGCACCGAGGATATTGTCTAAATGAAATAAATTGAACAAATAAAAATATCAGGGGTATTATTTGCTACATTGAACACTTTTTACTCCTGGCATCTTAAATCATGAAGTTCTAAAATTAGGTTTCTACACGCCCTATCTTAGCTATCTTGCTAATGTCATAATTTTAAAATTGCCACATTTTGCCTTTGGCAAAGGTCAGTGTTCTTCCCTCTCCAGTTCTGTTTGGGAGAGTCCACAAAAGGCCTAGTTTGCAACTCCTTGCCTTGTAGTAAGAGTGCTAAGTAAGGACACTTTGAGTTGTGTCACTGTTGCTCATTTTATAGGGACTTAGGGAGTGTAGCCAGGGGTGGGTTTCTATCGGTTCTGTCCACCTCTGTAGAAGCGGTAGCTCTGAAGAGCAGCAGGCATAGAACTGTTTCTATGTCTGCTGATGTTTTTGCCGACCCACCCGCCTGGGCTCTTACCTTACCTTTATTTCCTGATTATTTCAACTTCAGCTGCTGTGCAAAGCACAGCTGCAGTTAAAAAAGCAGGAAAAAAAGGCTTTTTGAAAGGCTGCTTCTCTGCATGCAGCATGCTGATGACGATTTACAGGAAGCGCATTGTAAATCACCGAACCTCATAAATGACCGAACTGGTAGTTAACCCTGTCGGATCCCACCCCTGAGTGTAGCTGATTCATCCTGTTTTTCAGAGAATTCCAAGATGGAAGCCTTAACCACATTATCTACTTTAAGCTAATCTATATTTTGATACCACCTTTAGAGTGCCAATTTTGTACCACTTTATGTATAATATGCCTGTGAGATGATCTGTCTAGAGTTTATTGGTCTTCTGTTTTATTTCAGTTGTAAACTGGTTGTTAGCCTTGAAAAAACATCACCAAACTGTATTTAATTACTTTTAATTGCATATAAATTAAATTAAATGTAGTTTATGTCCTGGGCCTGTCTAATTCTTGGCCTCAATTCCCAGCATGCCCTCTAAACCTAAGTGCAGTCTTCATCCTAATAAGGACAGACAGCTGGATGCACAGCTCTGCTTAGGAACTGTGATGTACAGAGCATTAATCTTTCATTTTAGCCTTCAGCCCCAGCAGCATCTTTACCATTATATCACATTGCCAATTTTTTTATTCCATTTGGGAGGAAAAAAAATAAAGTAGTAAGATTAATTTTAGATCAGAAAAAGGGAATAAAGAATACATTATTTCATCATAGAATTTTACACATTGAATCAGATGCTATTAATGTTTAATGCCATTTTACACGTACCAGATTCCGGAAAATAATATGTTTAGGCAGTCACTGTGTTTGTCTAGACAGGAAGCCTAGCTATTATGTGCAAGTTGTTAATTTTATACAGTACAATTTCTTCCCCTCTGGTATTGCCTAATATGAAAGCATATAATAGCTCTGTGGGATTTAAATTGATTTAGTTTAATGGTCAGAACATAAAACTGGTGGTAATTATTATCTTGGTCAATTGATTTTTCCCTAGGACCGTGGCCAAGTTATTTCACTGTTTTACTATGAATTATAAAATGCTCTCTTCATTCTGCTTTGTTGTCTCTCTGGTTCTTGTTTTTATATGTATTTCTTTTCCCCTTCTCTCATTTTTCTTTAAATTTCCAGCTGTTTATTACCCCCAACTGAATACTTCACACTTGATGAAATCTTCCTGGGTAAGAACAGGTATGTATCGTATAACTGAATAATCCCTCCACATGATATTATCAGTGTAGTAGAGAATATATAATTAATATTTCCTTGTATTTTTAAAATGCAGATATGAATAGCAATGGCCAAAGTCTCAGTTGCTTTCCTTGAAGTTAATGCAAAGGTGATCAACTAAGATTTCACTAATGGTCTCCATTCTTCCTCTTTTACTGACCATTGGCCAAAGAAATAATGTTAGCCAGTTGGAGGAAGGGCACAATGGCTGTTTTATTGATTGCCTTTTAGCCTGTGATACTTTCTGAGTCTGATCCAATGATTGTCTAATTATGAAACCCCTTTCATAGAACAAAGTGACAGAGTGAATAAATGCTCAAAAGTTATGGCACAAGAAGTGTGCTTTAATTCCCTAGAAGAGAAAATTTATCAACCTTCTCAACTGAATTATTTCTCAGTAGAGATTATTATAATTTCTACTTTTTTTTAATCCTGATAATGATTAAACATCCAGAAATAGAAGATATAACTGTCTGTGAAGCATAGTACTTGCTGTAGGGCCACTGCCAGATATTTTAGTTTAGTTACAGGTGCTCATTTGTCTCTGTAATGTGTAATCATGTGAAGTCACAGTGTATACAGTGTATATGTCTGCACGTTACTCCATACGGACAAGAGAGCAGAAGATGCCAACGCTGGAGGCAAGAAGGCCTCTAATCAAAATATTGTGCAGTTGCCTTCCACATCTTAGGTCAAAAACTGAATGGAAAAAATCCATAATAACATAGGAGTGGGAGGAAGAGACATAACAATTAAACTCTGGTTCGGATATAAATATGACTTGATTCCAGATTCTGCAGTTGGTGATCTTTGTTACTAGAGCTTCTTTGGTATTTGTTATAAAAGCAGCTTATTTTTTTCGGACCTCTGTTCTTCACTCTTCTACTCCAAACTCCTGAATTTTGAGAAGATAAATTTTCTAGGACAGACATTTCTTTCTGTATGTGAATGAAGCTTTGACAGCCTGCCACAGTGTGGGGTTGATGAGATCGATCATCATAATGTCAGGATGCAGGATGAGTACTGCCACATCATGACAGAGGGGGAAACTGAATACAGGAAGCTGCTCCTTATTCTTTGAAATGCCTAATTCCATATTCAAAATAACATGAATCATTTTTGCTTCCTTTTTTGGTTAAGAACAGATCTTCGCATGTAAAAAAAATGTCTAGTGAAATATGTGGGTATAGAAATATTATTTTTCAGTGCATAGCAGACCTATATTTGTGCAAGTTTGAATTATAATAAATAACCCTGTGACATGCTTTGAGAGAAAGGCGGTGCAGTGTGATACGATTAGAATGAACATTCCATTTTAGGCTGACAGTGTATTTTTACTCAAATCCTGGACAGCCCTGTGATCACTTAAGAAGAGTATATAAATTCAAAAAACCCATACATTTTTAAAAAATATTTAAAATGGAAAATGGTAAATTCAATAATAAGTCAATATTTATTTACCTAAGCAGATAAATAGAATGACCATTGGCAGTCAAAAAAGCAGCAGGTACAGGAGTGACTTCTGGCTTCCTGCTGGCTTCCCCATTGACATTGTTTATCAGAAATCATGATCGCATGACCACGGGGATACTGCAATTGCCACAACTTTGCAAATAACACTGTTAACAGATTAACAGATTTAACAACTAATCAGAATTGGAAGGGACCTTGTAGGTCATCTAGTCCAACCCCCTGCCCAAGCAGGAGACCCCACACCATTCCTGACAAATGGCAGTCCAATTTCTTCTTGAAAGTCTCAAGTGATGGCTCTCCCACAACTTCCGAGGACAAGCTGTTCCATTGGTTGATTGTTCTCACTATCAGAAAGTTTCTCCTTATTTCCAGGTTAAATCTCTCCTTGTTCAGTTTCCATCCATTATTCCTTGTCTGGCCTACAGTCATTTTAGAAAATAGCTTGACCCCTTCCTCCCTGTGGCAGCCCCTCAAATATTTGAAGACCACTATCATGTCTCCCCTGGTCCTTCTCTTTACTAAAATAGCCAAGCCCAGTTCCTGCAACCGTTAGTTGTATGTTTTAGCCTCCAGTCCCCTAATCATCCTGATTGCTCTTCTCTGTACTTTTTCTAGAGTCTCAACACCTTTTTTGTAATGTGGTGAACAAAACTGGATGCAGTACTCTAGGTGTGGTCTTACTAAGGCTTTATAGAGTGGTATTAGTACTTCCCTTGATCTTGATTGTATCTGTTTGTTAATATAATTTAGGATTGCACTAGCTTTTTTGGCTGCTGCTGCACACTGCTGGCTCATATTTAGCTGGTTGTCCACTAAGACTCCAAGATCCCTCTCACAGTTACTGCTATTGAGCCTGGGTTCACCCAGTCTATATCTGTACTTTGGGTTTTTCTTGCCTAAGTGTAGGACTTTACTATTCTCTACATTGAATTTCATTTTGTTAGATATGGCCCAGTGTTCTAGTTTGTCAAGATCCATCTGGATCTTGAGCCTGTCTTCTTGGGTGTGAGATATTCCTGCCAGCTTAATATCATCTGCAGATTTGGTAAGTTCCCCTTCTGTTCCCTCATCTAAGTCATTAATGAAGATATTGAAGAATACTGGGCCTAAGAAGGAACCTTGTGGTACCCCACTGCTTACTTCCCTCCATGTAGACTTAGACCCATTAAGGACTACTTGTTGAGTACAGTTTGCCAGCCAGTTGCGAGTCCACTTAGTGGTGGTGCTATCTATTCCACTTTTTTCTAACTTACTAAGAAGTAGGTTGTGGTCTGCTTTGTTGAATGCCTTGCTGAAATCTAAATATATTATGTCCACAGTATTTTGTTGGTCTACTAATTTAGTCACTTTGTTGAGGAATGAAATAAGATTGGTTTGGCATGATCTGTTTTTAACAAATCCATGCTGACTGGTAGTTATTACTTTACTTGTTTCTAGATGTTGGCAGATCTGTTTTTTTATTATCTTTTCTAGTATCTTCCTGGGTATTGATGTTAGGCTGATTGGTCTATAGTTTCCTGGGTCTGTTTTTTCCCCCCTTTTTTGAAGATGGGAATCACGTCAGCTCTTTTCCAGTCCTCTGGTAGTTCCCCGGTGCTCCAGAAATTTTGAAAGATATGGTGCAGCGGTTCTGAGATGACCTCTGCCAGCTTCTTTAAAACTCTGGGATGTAATCCATCAGGCCCCGGTGATTTGTTTTCATCAAGATCAGACAGGTGTTCTCTTACTATTTGTTTGCTTATTTTAACTTTTATTTCTGGTCTGTCTTTTACAGTTATGTTTTTGGTGGGTTGAGCTATGGTTTCTTTTTGTGTGAAGATGGATGCAAAGAATGAGTTAAGCAGTTCTGCTTTCTCTCTGTTGCCTGTTATTTCCTTGCCATCTTCTCTCTTTAGTGAACTGACTGTTTCCTTGATTTTTTTCTTGTAATTTATATGTTGGAAGAAACTTTTTTTATTAACTTTGACTTTTGTTGCAAGTCTTTGTTCGTTCTGAGCCTTTGCTATCCTGACTTTGTCTTTGCAGATTCTGGCTATCTGCTGATATTCTGCCTTAGTTGTATGTCCTTCTTTCCATTTTTTGTACTTGTCCTTTTTTTCTTTCAATCTGCCAGAGAGATCTTTGTGCAGCCATGCTGTTTTTTTGGATTTCTTGTTTTTCTTTCTCACTGGTATTGTGCTGGTCTCAATTCCACAGGAGTAGTGGCTCCCAGAATTTTTCTATTTTTTTTTAAAGTTAGTGGATTTTAGGTACCTTGATTCAAAAACTTTATGTATAATACATAGTTTGGGTTAACCCGAGGGTACAAAGAGACAAAGAGATAAACACAATGAGAGTTTTAGCAGTGTTATGTGTTCCTGGCTACTTTCCTTTATGACCAGAGGCAAACTCGCCTGACCAACAACTAGTCAAGACTCATTGAAGGTCTTTTGTTTTGATTATTGCAACAAACAGGAGAAAAACTTTTCAAAGAGTGGTTCTCCAAAGTTCCAACCCAAAATATTCCCTTCTTTATACAACCCTGTCCCGGCTGCCACATCCCTCTTCATTCCCCATTGGCTGAGGTATTATGAGGTTACACTCTTCCTCCTACATATTTCCTGCTACTTTCCTTAAAAATACTGAACCATACATTGCATGTACATTAAAATTAGCAGCTAATATCTGCAAGGTGTGTCAAATAATATTAACCAGTTCATTAGGTATGCTCAGTTACCTGTTTTAAGTTCTGAGTTTTTCTATGGATTCCTAGTATAATAGATTTTTCCTGTTTTTTAGTTTTAGTTTTGCCTTTCCTGTTTTCCAATTCAGTTAGCTTTCCTGTTATCCCATTCAGTTAATTTTCCCTGGTTAGCCATTTCCTCTTTCAGCTGTTTTTACAGCTTGTATTCTTCCATTTCCCTCCTGACTAATTTTTGCCTACATGTCTATCTTAATCCTCCTTTTATGCTACTATTTCTTGCTCGCATCCATAGATTCTTGGGCAGTCTAGATTTTCTACTCAGTCTAGAGTTTCCACTACACACAGATTCAATTTTAAATTTTTCTTTCAATATTATATTCAGCAGTAAATACATAAGTTCTGAATAATTAATCATTCATTTACTGGGAGAATTTCTGATACAAACAAATATTGAAGGAGGTATTAGTGGGGTTGAACTACATTTGACAGCAATATTTGTGTTTACTCTTTAACGGCGCAGTTTGCACTAAACAGTTTGATGATTTTAACAGTTTGTGGTTTGAAACAATATCTTGGAAGGCAGACATTGCAAATGTCCCTACTAGTTTGCATAAAGAGAAACAGAGAAAAATGCACTATCACAAAAATGGAGAGACGGGTAAATTTAAACATCCACATGCCCAATAGAAAACCATCTATTGCAGAGGTTAATTACATGATGTAATTCTTAGAGCCAAAGTTAAGGATTAATAAGGATTAATAGAGGAAAAAAAACTAATAGGTATGCAAAATGAATTTCAGGAAAAAGATGTGAGAAGTAAAAGTACAATTTATTATCTCCTAGTCATGGGTGTCAAATTTGATCACATCACGTGATATCATGTGACATATCATGACGTTTTTTGCCTTTGTGGAACCCAGGTGGGTGTGGCCTGCGCGGGAGGTAACCGGCCCGCAAGCTGCCAGTTTGACACCCTTGCTCTAGTGGTTTGTATGAGAGTCAGTTTGGTATAGTAGTTGGATCTCCTTGAGTCAGTCACTCTTGAGTCCTATGAAGTAAACAATGGCCAACACTTCCAAAATTCCTGTCAAGTAAACTGCAAGGATTAGTCCAAAGTTGCTAGTAGTGAAGGCTGACTTGAAGGCGTGAACACACACACACACACACATAAATTCCTAATTGTTTATACCCTTTATTCAGGTCAAAGTTCTATACGGTAATGGAAATTGTCAAACCTTTCAGGTACTAGCCATTATCTAGTGACTACTGTAAAAAGAGACATAAGTGCCAGAAAATATAAATACTTTTAAAATGACCAGAATCATTTCAGTTATTCCCATGCATTCACGATAAAATCTGAAATTTCATGAGACTTCAGGTGAGAACCCTTGTCTCTCTTATGAAAGTCTTATAAAATTTCAGCTGTGTTAAAAATTATTTAGTATGAGGATCTCAGGGGTCTTCTGAAGATGGTGTAGGCATAAGCACTTGGTGGCACTATTTCCTATCCTTTAAATTATTATACTGCATTAAAATCTATGCACGAAACTTTTGTAGAACTCAGATTCTGGTGTAACAATTAGCAAAGATATAGTTGCCGTTTCCCAAATAATAAATCTTCTGTTTACCATTTTGAATATAACTCTAATGACAAGGAATGTGTAGTTTACCTATGATGTCAAGGTGAACATTTCAAGCATCCTTTAAAAGCATACATTTTTTTTCTATTTCAATGCTTATTTCAACTTAGTTGTTCTGGGAGTTGTCAACCAGAAAGTTGAAGAAGAAGTTTTTCAGGCTGAGATGGAACGAAAGCTAGCCCACTTGTTGAATGAGGCTACGGGCCGAGGGCGAAGATGGAGAAGAGCAACTTTTGCTGGGAAGAACATTGTGCAGGTATTTCAAAGAAAATGGGAGTGAAGCTTAAGTTGGGAAAGACATCAATAATTATAATTTTTGTCATCATCACCATCAGCCCTTTTTAAAATCTTTCTCATGCCCCAAATGCTTTGAATTTCATTTTATTGATGCTGCTTTTTCATTTGCTGGGGCTTACACTGTGACATGTGTAAGCAGAATTTTAATTAATTTAGGCTGAGTAGGGGTTTGTTTCATGTTGTTCTTTTGTTAGTGTTCAGTAAATGAAATTTTTTGCTTGTTATTCTTTGGCTTTCTGTGCTGTTATTCTCAGCTCCTCTCATTCTCCAAAGATAGTAAGATGATGTCAGGATTATTTTTCTCCTTAGCACATTGTTACCTACAGTTACTGTAGAAAATAGAATAATGTGAATGTTTCAATGAACGGGAAGTCAATAATCAGAAAAACTACAACCGTTAGCAAGATACTGTAGAAAAATGTAGTGTTTCTTATTTTCTCCCTTAGCCATGATAGAGGAGAGTGAAGAAAAGAGATGGGAGGGAACAAAAGGTTTGGAGAATGGAACTGTTTCAGGTTTTTCTCCTGGGTTTCTTGATGTAAGCAAAACTGTGAGCAGATGATTTTAAGATTTCAGCCTTGGACCACAAGCCATCTTTCATAATTAACTTTAAAGTGGGTATCCAGTCTTGCTATTAAGTATTAATAACTAATTTGCAAATATTTCCACATCGATGAAATTTGGCAAATATTTTTGCATTGGTTTTTTTTTTAAGCCTTCCTCAATTTATTTTTTCTTCGTGGTTTCAGTTTCCACTTCTGAGTTGTGATGTTTGATTTAATGTTCTATTGACTGTAGATTTTACATTAGATTTGTTAGTAATTTCCCTTGAGTGTCTTAGGCAAATTTGGTTGAAAAACAGATAAATTCTCTTCCTTTCTGAATTTTAACCAATTTTACATCTATTTGTCTGACGTTATCTTGTGTTTTATGTATTACCTGGGTAATTGTCTGCCATTGGCCTGGTCCAAACACAATGATAATGGTTTAGTTTTCTGTGAGTGACCCTGTTCACCTCTTCCCTCTCCTACTTCTATGACAGTGTGACTAAGATTGGAAGCAACCATTTTCAAGCTTGAAGTAATTATGGTTCATAATTGCATCAAAATCTAGAAATGTAGTCTGCTTAAACTGTAGCTTATCAAAATAAATCACAACTAGTATCTACCATTTATTTTGGATTCAATAAACTGGAGGGTCATCATTTGAATATTGGCCATATTTGAGTACAAAAGACAGTAATCTCTTTAAATCAGAAAGTAGGTTATTGAAGCAACGTTCTTGTAGTTTTTGCTAGCAGATGGAGAGGGGAGTTAGAAGATGTAAAGCAGGATGTTGCATACTAGTATGTACCACTGCCAGCATTTTACCATTATCTATGTTATTTCCCTTAGCAAGTTAGTGCCTTCCATAAAAAGCACTGAGGTAGAGCCTCCCACTGTTGGTATTGTATAAGTATTATATTATATAAATATGCGTATACACAGATATTCTTGAAAATAAAGACGATGAAGCCTCGAGCTTTGCTCTGATGCATACTAGCTTTTGCTTTGTTTTTTAGCAAACATTAAAATACTTATTTCTTGTTTTAATACTAACGTAATTTAAAAGTCTTTGAGTTAACTGTGAAAATTTCACTTGGAATCAATTGGGCATCAATACATACACACATACATACATACATACATACATACATACATACATACATACATACATATTTAGTGGCCTTTGGGATCATTGCCTCACATGATTTTTATATTTTAATTCAAAACATGGAAATCTGAGACCATGCAAAATTAGACATCATTGTTTATCTTCTTTGTTTCCAACCAAGACTGTTTTGGGATCCTAAACAAAAAATAAAAATGATCAGTGATTGTAAACCGGTGCTCTCTTTGGAAGCACATTCACCTGTCTATCAAAAAGAAAAATGTAAGCAATGATTTGGAGTGTGTGCTAGAGGGGATGTACATACATCTAGTAAAATGGTAATACAGGTAATCCTCAACTTACGATAATAATTGAAACCAAAATTTCTGTTGACATTTGTTAAGTGAGCTTTGCCTCATTTTAAGATCTTTCTTGCCACAGTTATTAAGTGAATGACTGCAGTTGTTAAGCTAGTAATATGGTTAAGTAAACCTGGCTTCCCCTTTGATTTTATTTGTCAGAAGGTCACTAAAGGTGATCATGTGACCCCAGGATATTGCAACTGTAATAAATATTAATGAATTTTAATCATGTAACCATGGGGATATGGCAGCAGTCATAAGGGTGGGAAGTCACTTTTTTCAGTGCTGTTGTATCTTCCACCAGTCACTAAAAGAACTGTTATAAGTCAAAGACAACCAGTATTCCCTGTGATTTTATGAATGGATAAGCCCCTCCTTCAAATTCTTCTTTTTTTACAGCATTCATAATATATTCCAAAATCCTACCACTCCAAAAGTGTTGTTTCTTTGTGCGTGTGGATCTTTTTGCTAAAGTATGTGACATTCAAACACAGCCAGTGGCTATCATTCAAATAGACAATGGCCTATCCCACCCCAAAGAATGGGGTGTCAGTGATCCATGACCCAAGTCGCCCCAAAGTATGAGATGGTGAAAAATAATGAAAATGGAGTCCTTCACGTTTCTAGCATGACTTTTAATTGAAATTCTCGTGCCTTTTCAGATGGTGAATTTGTCACGCTTAGAGGAAGCCGACAGCCCAATTATGCTGGTCTATTTTGTGGAAGATCGAGATGGGGAAAGGCTCAGTGCTGTGAAGGCATCAGATTTGATTAATAGGGTGGATATCCAGAAGGCTGCCATCATCCTGGGTTATCGCATTCAGGGTCCAGTGGCTCAGCGTGAGTCTCCAAACAAATACAATAATAAATAATCCTTGCAATATGTTCAAGAAAACAGTCTACATGCATACAGTTTTGTGGGAAATTGCTTGTGTGCGTGTGTGCCAATGTTTCAACTTTTATGATGTGGAGAATTTTAACACCTCTGTTTCCTTGGACTCTGTGGAAGTGTAATATTCTCCTCACAACGCAAAGCACTGTTACATAACAGTTCCCTACGTGGTTAATTGCTCACTATGGTAACTGTTTAGTCAATACTCTCTGGAGACATAGCAACCTAAATTTCTTGCAGCAACACACATGCACATCATCTTCAGTTGATTTATAGCAGGTTGAAGATAACGTCATTAAGTATTATGTCACCGCAAACTATATTTTGCCATAGTAGATTGGTTGGTTTTTAAGGCTTTACGGTGCTTTTTTCTCTGTATTAAATTATTATCTGATTTCATTCTGAAGATGTGACTATAGTAGTACAAATAAGAGAGGGGGCATTATGCAACACTGTGAAAGTGAGCTATGTTCAAATTAAAAATGACTTTAAACATTAGAGATGTGTAGACTGAACCAGATTTCCAAACTTTGAAGTGTTTAATGTCATTGAAATCAGTGTTTTTCAATTTGACAATTTTAAGATATGTGGACATCAACTCCCTAGATTTCCCAGCTAGCATGCTGGTTGAGAAACACTGACTTGCAGTGTTTGGTTAGATAACTCCTTAAGGGAAACACTCCTTGCTTATTAGTTCAGAACCTGTTTTCTTTTCATCAAGAAGCTTCCTTTGGGAAAATAGTGGCATGTTTTCCTGTGGTCTTGGGGGAGAAAGGGAAGGCATGGACAAAACCAATAGGATTTTAAGAAACTCCCCTGCAATCTCTTCTGATCTAGGAAGATTGCTTCTGCTGGCTTCTCCAGCAAGGATCTTCCTCACTGGAAGAAAGGCATGTGCCAGACAAGCTGTTCTCTCTATCTGCTACTCTTCCAGCAAGGAAAAACTAATAATGCCAAGAGTGGGAGTCAGGGAAGAACATTATTGGAGCTGTTACTTCATTAAGCAGCATTTCCTAATATCACTCCATCAGCTGGCTAGTTGGCTTGGACTTGCTCCTGAACTGAATCTAGGTCCCATGCCTGCTTTAGGGGAAGATTTACTTTTCTTTGATTATTGTAGGTGGATACCATCCTTTCTTTGAGAAGCACATAGTAGGAGGTATGGTTTCTCCTTCCCTGTAATTTGATTGCTACAGCAACCCTGTAATGATTGTCAGATTGATTGACAGTAACTCCTCCATAGTCATGACTACCTTCCCAGCAGAAATTGATCTAAACTCCCTAAACTAGCTTTCCCTAAATGATGCCTTTCAAAAACTATAAACACCATGCCACACAACAAGAACAGCATGTAAAGGAAATCTGACTGTAGGCCCTTTAGTAACTTGTCTAGTTTGGCTAATGGGTATTGTTTACATTGGGATTCCAATAAATATGGCTAACTTGATAGTGTGCCTCACATTTTTATACATAGATTTATTCCATCTTTCCCAGTAAGTCTGCAAGAAAACTCATAAAAATGGTTGTACATATCTTCTCACAAAAAATACATACTGAGCAAGTACTTTCTCTAATATATGCCTTTTTTGTTCTTAATGGATCAAAAAATATATATGGGGAAATCCAGTTCAGATTGCTTAGACTTTACAAAGATCCTCAAGACTGTTTACGGCCTGAAGCCATTGTAGTTACTTTGACTGATTCCTAGACACAGAATATTTCTGTTATTAGCATGATGAAACTAATTTTCCCATTATTCTGTTCTGTGGCTTATACGTAGATATTTACAAAAGCACTGTAGCACTTCAACTTTTCCAGATATGGAAGGGGAGAAGGAGTGTTATGCTTTTGGCACTAAATTTCAGCATTTATTATATCAGCATATATTATATGAATATGAAATATTTATAGCTAGCTTATTTTTTCTTTAGGGACAGTAATAGATTTTCTGCAAGATTACAATTTATCAGCATATGTTCTTATATAAACTATTGAAGTTGGTATGGTATGTAGCTTTTATAAATCCTCTATTTGTATGAGCAGTTAAGAAAAATAGAAAATATCTGCAATTTTTAAAATTAAGATATTGCAATGTTCATCTTGTTCAGAATTCTACAGGTTGCTGTCTGTCTTACAATGCGTTAATATTTATATAATGGTTTTAAAACAAATTCATGTAATTTGATTATTCAATATTTATGAATTTCACTTTGAATAAATTATTTAATAAGATGAGAAATTAAATCATTAAGATGGTTTTCTGAGATACAGTGTGCAACTGATGGTCAAATTTAAATCCTGTTGTAGAGGCTGCCAATAGTTATAAAAATTTCAGATAGAAATTCCTTCCTCCAATTCTTTTTATCCATTTGATTATATCTTAGTTGATCATACATTTTGGTACAATCTTCCAGATGTCTGGAAGTCCCAATGTCTATGGAGATTCTCAGTCATCCAGGTCATGGTTGACTGAGAAAGTAGCCTTTTGGGTTTTTCTTCTTCAGCTTCTTGGATGAGAAACGAAACTTCTTCAAAGAAAAAATAGAAAGGCCAGTTGCCTCTTGAAAAAGCACCTTTGGGACAACCATGACCTGGATGACTGAGAATCTCCATAGATATTTAGCTTCTTATATAATTGTTACCAATGTATTGAATGTGAGAATAGATGAAGTGAGATTGCATAGATAGCCACAAACTCTGGATAGCTTCTGACCTTGCTTTTGACCTCAGGATATTTATCTCACTGGCAATTCTCTCATACATCAGGAGAACATCAGTTGGAAAAAGTTGGTAGAGTGACTACATGAGACTAAAGTACTAAACGTTCATGTCTGATAAATATATTTTAGAAGTTAATGCTTTCACACTATGTTTAAATACTGCTAGAATTTGGTACATAAATTCTAACTTTTTCCCAATCCCCTTGATAGCTGTAGATCAAGTCAAAGAACCTCCTCCAGAATCACAGAATAATCTATGGATTATTGTTGGGGTTGCAGTCCCTGTAGCTGTGGTGCTATTGATAATCATAATTTTATACTGGAAGCTTTGCCGCACAGATAAACTTGAGTTTCAGCCAGATACCATGAGCAACATACAGCAGCGTCAGAAGGTAAGAATTGGAGAAGTGGGAATGTTCTAAAATGCATAGGTGTTTTGTGACTTGCTAACAACTATTAAGAGTACTCTTATAATATGGCTGCCATTACCTGTTCATAAATGGAAGGACATAAAATGCTTATTTTGCAGAATGCAAGCTAGTGAAGCTAAACATTTGTGATCCCACGTCTAGAGTTTGCAAGGCTGTTATGTAATAGATAATATCTTCTAAAAATTACCTCAGGATATGGTATCAAGAAAATTCTTTATGAATAAGGAAACCTGTTGCATCTTAAAAAATTAGTTGTCATTGATTAACATTTGATATATACAGTGTTCATACTTTTTGCATGGCCTGTGTATTATTTAACAGTATAAGTTTAATATTAAGTTTAATATAAGTTTAATATTCATATTTGTAACAAATTAAAAGAGAAAGAACACCTAATTATTATTTGTAACAAAATTTTGGCAAATGCTAAAAACAATAGAACCAACTTCTGCCTTTTTAATGATTGAGTCTATTTTGAAATGGAAATTACCCTCCAAATATCCCCATGATTATGCAATGTTATTTCTGTTATGTTTTGTATTATGAACTACCTAGAGCAGGGGTCCCCAAACTTGGCGACTTTAAGACTTGTGGACTTCAACTCCCAGCTATGGTGGCTGAAGAATTTTGGGAGTTGAAGTCTTAAAGTTGCCAAGTTTGGGGACCTCTGATCTAGAGTCACAAAATTAAGATGGTAAATCACTGTATTATAAATCCTAAAATAGGTACAATATAGGTAAAGCAAAGGCAATTTTTTTTTCTCCAGAACATGGATGATCTTGGTCTCACTCATAAATGACATGGCCTCACCCACTTGGTGTAAGGCCTTGCTCCCTGTTCTCCTCCATCTTCCCCAAAAGGTTAAATATGGAAGCAAAGGTTGCCGAATGCAAATCTAGTTCATAATTTCAGCCAACCTTCACCTGCATCATAAGGAAAATTATTATTACTTCTAGTAATATGGACTCTGCAGCCTTTCAGAATTGCCTTCTTTTTATACATATTATGAAGAAAGTAGAGCTGAGAGCTGTTCCATTTTGCACAATTTGGTCTGGGAATATAACTGCCCTCCTGTTTACAGGAATTGGTTTATTGTAGAATTGTTTCACTCCATTTCATATTTCATATTTTCACTACGTTTCATTAATCATGGGAAAAATGAGTGAGGTTGAAAGTGATTGCGATTTTGTTGGAACGCTGGGTAGCTTTTCTTTTCATTATTGTAACAGAAGAGAAGAAGGAAAATCAGCAATAGCTTTCACCTTCGGTGATATTTACACCATTGACTTGTGTTGTCTCTGCTTTATGATGGTTGTGCTAAAATAGAAATCAGTCTAAGAATAAGGTTTAAATACTATCTTTACTTTACTTAAAAGTAGCTATTTTATGTTTATTAAAATTAAATACTATCCAAACTTTGCTTTGAGAAATGCCCATAAGCCATTGGTACATTAAGTTACATACATTAAGTTCTCTGAAAGCAATCGCAATAGCGCTTCACAGTGCTTTACAGCCCTCTGTAAGCAGTTTAAATTGTCACCATATCTGGGCCCTCATTTTACTGATCTTGTAAGGATGGAAGGCTGAGTCAACCTCAGAACTCCTGGAGTAAGCAGTGAGTTAGCCTATAGTACTGAAATTCTAACCATTGCGCCACCACGGCTCTAGAGTACTTTGGATACATTATGCATTTAATTGTATTTCATGAGCTTATGAAAAGTCATCCCACTTATGGTATCCATCAATATAGCATAAATCAATGGCAGGCGGCTTAAGGTTGGAAAAATGTATTTAGCTGAAGCATGACAAAATTGATATAGGGACTTTAAACTGAATCTTGTGGAGGTTAAAGATTAAAACCCCCGAAGTAAGACACTCAGATAAAGTGGTTCCTATTATAGACAGAAGTGGAATTTTAAAGAACTTTACACATGATGTTTTGGTTATTTATACCTTTTAGAGGCTTCCCAAAATTGAACTGCTCTTTGGGCAGGCCATTGTCCTTTACTAGCCAGTTGCCTAATTTTTAGAAGAGATGCCTGGCATATGATTTGTTAATTATTCTTGAAATCATCTGCTTGAATGATAATTGGCTAGATACGTTTGACTTTCTTTTATATATATATAAGGGCACAGTGATTGATAGAACTCAATCCTAGGGAAGTGGAAGAGAACAATCTATGTGTATAAATAAATAAAATACTGGTATTAACCAGTCTGAATGTGCCTTTAGTAGTTAGCCAGAATCAGCTCTCCCCAATGATTTATCCTTTTCAATTGTTTGGATAAATTTGGAAATCTCACAGGTGACATTGACACTCAATCTGGAATATATTCTAGATTTAGCTCAAGATGTGTTGAAATGAAAAAGACATCACTGCAGGATTTGGCAGTGGGCACAGTCTTCTGGGTTGAAGAATATTCTCCTCCAAAAACCTTCCAAGATTTTTTGAGACCATCAGTCAAAAAATAAATCTCAAATCTCAAAACTCAGTTATCTCAGAAGATACCAACATTTTTGTTTTATTCTTATTATGTTCAAACAATGGAGGCATGTGTGTTTAAGGGGGTATACTACATACTCTGTGCCTACGTGTTGTTAAACGCTGCTTTGCAAAAAGAAGTAGAAACAGTCTTAAATTGCTTTCAGGACACAGTTGGAAGGAACAAGTTAAAAATAGTTCAAGGTGGGGAAAATGAGTCAGAATTATTTGGAATCTATTTGGAAGGAGAAAAGGCAGCAACATAAAACATGGGACTGAGTTTCTGAGATGGTAATAATGCAATAGTTCTTATTGCTTCAGTGATTTCATTACAGACCAATCTCTCTGAACCTTTTTAGTTGAATAGTTGCATAAAAGGCACATAAAATGTTAATAACCCACTCTGCTGTGAGTCATCTTGTTTTTTCCCCCACTGAGCTTTGACTGGATGTGATCCCCATCATCATACTGAATAAGCATTTTGTTTCCTTGGAAAATGAGAACAATTCAGCGGCAACATCTGTAAATAATCACAGTTTTATTTTCTCCATGTTTAGCTTGTAAGTTGAATTTATTAAATTAAAGGGGTCAATATAATTGACTGTTAAAGTCTGGTTGTGCATGTACACATCCATGCTTATGTAAAATCCTAACTTCAAAGGTTCTTTTTTTAATTCATGAGCTTTCGTTAGAAATCAGTTGTCAGACATACCAAGGCTAACCTATCTATACCCCCAGGTCCCACCTTCGAGTTGATGGTTAGGACTGTGATCTTCCTCTAACAGTTTTTTATTTTTTATTTTATCAATTGATTGGTCTCATAACTGGGGCAATAAATTAAATAATATGAAAAAAGAGTTTTAAATTGTCATTTAATGGTAACAATGTCAACTACTCGTTTAACTGTTAACAATATTAACATAGTGAAAATAAATAGATATCTAGAGAAATCCTGGAACTGGTAACTATTACTTTTATATAAAATAATCATTGATTTGTGAGTATGATCTCAGGTTTTAAGTTGTATACACATCACATAAAACCAAAGCTTCATTCTTTTCTGGAACAAAAGGAGAAGAAGGAAAATCATTGTGTTTTCTTCTGACTAAACTTACATAGGATTTCTGAATCTGGCTCAAATATTCTCATTGTATTTCCTAGCAAAGATACCCTTTCAGGTCACTAAGGAATGCATGTAATTATCTTATTTTTTCATTCTTTCTTTGTTTCCTTGAAGAATAACAGCAGGTGTCACCTAAATGTACGGTAATCTCTGAAAAGAGGTCAACTTTATCTCTTGATACACAGAAGAGAAGCTACTTGAATGGGCAGAGTGGTATGTGTAAGGGTATATATAGTTATTATCCTTACCTCCCAAGATTTGAAGATTACCTTTGAAAATTAAAGAGACTAGGAGCAGACCAGCATATTACTTTTGTTGTCTCTGGAAAGCCACTGAGAATGATTATCAAGAAATTCCTTTGGGAATCCTTTCTTTTGAGCAAACTCATGCAAAGATAGACCTAGTTTAGCATTAAAATATCCAAGCAATTATGGCTTGAGGATACAGTATGGATATATCATCTAGTATTACTTCTAAACATGTCCAATAGTCAGAGTTATAATACAGGGATGTGTTTGGAGGAATGTATACATTAACCGATATTAATTCAAACTCCTCATATCTAAATTTCACAACTAGAAAGTATGAGAACTTCTCTTCATTATATAGTTTCTCCCACTGCCATTGGAATTCTTGCTTAATATAGATTCATAATCCACCAGAGGGTTGTCCCTTATTCTTTGTATTTCAGGTGGGGGAAGCCCATTCCTGAAAGCCCAGGAGTTGTACTAATTTGTTCTCTTCCATTAGCCAGGTTACCTGGATGACTATTACATCAAATTTAGATAAGATAATAAACTCACTAGTCCACTGTCAACCACTTCTTTCTAGCCAGCTATGTTCTAAGTCACAATTTGTATAGGACTCCCATAAGCAAGATGTTCTGACTGGGTGGGTTGACTAAGGAATAAGGATACTAAATGTCAACTTTTGGGGGGAGCTAGATCAATATTGACTATACTTTCTGTGTAAACACAATTATTATACAGTTAAATATTCAAACTAGGATATAGAATCATTTAGTGATTCTTCACTGATCATTTCAGTACCAATACTTTGCTTTGGAAGCTTTAATTTTCTACAGATGTGATTAAGGGACATCAACAGTTGAAGCATATCCCCTCCATCTTAAAAGCCCTCCTCCTCTTTTCTTTTAATATTCCTGCCTGACATCTCTCTGTCACCCATTAACATGCACACCTGTCTTCTCCAACTCTGTATACTGGCATTTTTGCCAGGTCATAATTCACTAAGACAATTTTACTCGGTCTCTAGACCTGCTCAGAGATTAGCTGCCAGAGCTGAAATATTACTATTCCTGTGATCAAACATACAAAGGCTCTCTCATTAAGCAATCTGTTCTGGCAGTGTTCTTACCAGTATAGGTATCAAAACAGAATAAAGTGGCATTTTCTATGTGGATCTGTGTATGTAGTGTGTGTAGATAAAACATACACATGTATATACACACAAACAACAAGGTACTCCTTTATAGGTAATTGTCTATATAATAATTATATGTATAATCCATGCCAAATTACTATGTATTGTCAATAAATTATGAAGCTACTTTTCCCTTGGGGGGGAAAACCCCCCTTGGGGGGGTTCCCCATATCAAAACAACTTACCTTATGTGCGGCCAGAATCGAAAATAACATTTAACACAGTATGGTACTTAAGCAAAATGGTTTGTTTGAGTTCGGCATATGTGAAACTGATTGCGGTAGATTGTAGGGGCGACACCGAAATATAATTTCATCATATTTTATTTATCTATATATTAAATTATTGTATTTTATTCCAATTTCATTTTAAATTGTATTTTACCCCAATTCCATTTTAAATTGTTTTTATCAATTTGTTTTAAATTGTTTTTATTATTTGTAGTAATAATTTGTGTCTGGAACTCTGCATTTTGATATGACCCAAGTGGTAATCAATAAAGTAAACTGAAACTTCCTTGGGGGTTCTAAGATCATGTGTGGCAAGGATTATCTAAAAGCAATATTACATCCTAGCCCAGCTTCCGTATTTAATTTTAAATGGAGGTAGTCAAATGTTTTTGAAGGCTTTTGATAGCCATCTGAATTGTTATTCTAAATTCCTTTGGGGATAACAAATTTCTGAAAACTAAGCAGAGGCCAGGTTGGTTAATGTAAAGTAGGAAAGCATCAACATGGCTACCTTCAGACCCCGTTCCAAACATTGCCTGTGAATTACACTTCCTATTGTGAGAGAAGAGTAATATTAGTAAATAAGTGGGAAAAAATCATAATAGTAAAAGGGATGTGATGGCTCAGTGGTTAAAAGATGCTGAATTATCAACTGGAAAGCTGACAGCCAAGGTTTGAGGCCTGAGCACCGCATAACATGGTGACCTCCCTTTGCTTTCCTGAGCTCCTGCAAACCTAGCAGTTCAAAAGCATGCATATGCGAGTAGAAAAATAGATACCACTTCAGTGGGAAGGTAACACTTTTCCATGTGCCTTGGTGTATGGCCTTGCTGGCCATATGGAAGTGTCTTTGAACAACACTGACTCTCACAGCTAAAAAAAGGGAAATGAGCACTGCCTCCTGGAGGGATTGGAAGCCCTTTATTTTTAATCATAACACTAGTACTTCATTAAAAGTTGCTTCGCTATCATTTTGGTTCTGGCTCTGCCACTTTTTGCTGCTCCGAGTTCACTTATGGCTGTCAGCCTGAGCAAGATTGTGCAAAGATTTAAGAAAGAATCATTCAAAGTGACTCATAAAGAGAAAGTATACAATAAAAATTGTGAAGCCATAAATACCTGAAAGTATATTTATGCATTTATTTGGAGCTGTTAAGAGGCTTCTTATGTGCTAATGATTGGCTCTCACCTCTCTGCCTTCCGCACACCTGCAAATCTAATTCAATGTCCAATCTTGACTCTCATGTCCTTTATCACATCTCTTTCAGAAGGCCCATTTCTTTGCATGTATTATATTACTTACAGGTGCATGCATTTCTTTCGTCAGACATGATGATTCCAAATTCTGTGGCCTCAGATACAGGATTAGGAAAAGAAAGATGTTATTGCGGAAGGCTGCTACAAAAGGCATTCAGTAATCTTCAGTCAGTGAGATACAGTACCGTAATCTCATTGAATTGCAGTTTCTGTTTGAGCCATTTCAGCACTTTGAGTTACAATTTAATTTACAAAGCTCTTAAGGCTTGGGGCTGGGATATTTATACATAATACTTCCTTAACCTATCTAAATGTATCTGTCATATGTCTAAGTCTACCTGTAGATCTTAGTAATGCTGTTTGGGGGAATAATTTACTCTGTTTTAGAAATATATCCATGAACAGCTGCTCTGGACTCCTCTGACTGTATACAAAAGGATTCTTTATTATACATAGTCAAAATGTTTATGGATTGAGATGACTGATTTTGGCTAAGCTTGAAGGGCCACTGATTGTTACAATTTGAGGAATCAACTGTCTATCTTCCTTTGAGTGCAGCAAATGAAAATAAGCAGGGGGAGATATCCCTTCTTCCTGGCCAATATCATGTACAATATAAATCAAAAAGGAAAAATGAAAACAAGGGAGATAAGTGAATTGTTTTGCTTTACAATGGCCTTCTCTGACTTACTGCCATGTAGATATTTTGGATTACAACTCCCATCAACTTCAAACTTTTTAGTCACTCATGGCAAGTACCGAAGTCCCCGGATTGGATAGCATTTGGATGGGAGAGTTTAACATACTATGTGTTCATTGTTTATTATTAATAGTAATAAAAGAACATGTGTGCATTTTCTAGTATTGCATTTACATCCTGTCTATTCTCCGAGAGCTCAAGAAATATACATGGGGTCTCCCTACAACAACCCCTATCAGAGAGAATAATGTGGGGGTGGGGGCAAATGTGCATAGTCACCCAGTGGCTTGTTGTAAAGTTGGGGTGGCGCAGTACTGCAGGTGACTTCTGCTGCCTGCCGGCTGCCTGCAAGTTGGCAGTTCAAATCTCACCAGGCTCAAGGTTGACTCAACCTTCCATTCTTCTGAGGTAAATTGAGGACCCAGATGGTTGGGGGCAAAATGCTGACTCTGTAAACTGGTCAGAGAGGGCTGTGAAGCACTGTGAAGTGGTATATAAGTCTATGTGCTATTGCTAAAGGGATTTCTTAACTGGGACCCCCTGGTTCAAGTTCAGCATTTTAACTGTAGCACACTAGCTATTTTTATAGACTTTTTAGAGACTTTCAAATATAGTAGGCTGCCTAATTGGAAAGTCAGAAACACCACCACTGTCAAGAGATGTAGATATTTCAAGGATTGTATTATTGCCTATGCTGTTATCCTAAAAACATAATGTTTTGTAATATACCTGTAAGTTGAAAATACCTTTCCCTTCAAAGCTTTTTATCTCCATCTGCTGGTTTAAACTTGTCAGTAGAATTCTCTGCAACTTGACCAGTTTTAATAATCTGCTTCAAGGTGACACCTTCCGGATATGTTGTAACTTACCTAGTACGCACAAAAAGCATTCTGGAAATTGCGATGTCAAGTTGGGAGATATTATGTGACAACATGAGGATGGTGGTATACTTTACTCAATAAGAGCCATTTTGTGTTTCTTTCTTTAAAAAAATAATAATGAATAGAACATTTATACTGAGCATTCTATGTGTTTATTTACATTACTATATTTTGGGAAACTTTTGGGAAACTCCTCTTAGAACAAAAGTGGATTTTGTTAGTATAGGAAAAATGGTATGAACAATTGAAGGGCTACAGAAGCAAGAAATAACCAAAGCAGAGGTGTTAGACACAATACATCAGGAAACAATGAAGTTCAAATGACTCCATATTGCATGCTAACATTCTCTACAAGAATCTGAACTATTAACAGTCAAAGCAAATTAGCGGTAGATGAGAATCAGAGGAATTCAAGGAAGGTTAGAGTTAGATCTCTTGTGGGTGCAAAGGGACTCAAGACTGATGATGAGCCAGATCCCTCCCCTGGGCTCAGCCTGACCATTTCCTATAAGAGGATCTACATTCAAGAGCACAATATTCACATTTAGTGGGAATCTCACTAAAACTGAGTCTGTTTCATTTTTCAGTACAATTTGACCTGTAAAGATCATCCATTTCAGTCTCCCCCCCCCCCCCCATGAGATGTCTTTGGATGTACCTTTCCTAAAATTGATGCTCTCCAGAAGCTGTAAACTACAGTTTCCAGGATATAACTCTGGAAGCCTCAAGCTGGGGAAAGCTTTGATCATACCAGGTGGATAGCTCAATTTATAATGATTTTGCTTCCAGGGATATTCCTGGACAATTATATATCCTCAAAAAGCTGTCGATTGAGCAGCAGTCATAGTGAACATTTAATTTTCTGTGACCTAAATTCAAACTGAGCATATCACTGAGCTGCCTCAGACTCTCCTTTGTAGGATCATTTGCTCACTTTCCCAGGAGTGCACACATTTCTATTTATTTTACTTATTGTTCTATTACTCTGCAGGCCTTTCAATTCATTGGCCAAATTTTAACTTACATACTTACAGTGCAAGCTCGGGAGTGCTCATTTTTTTTGTCTTAATAATCTTTCTTTCTTTCTTTCTTTCTTTCTTTCTTTCTTTCTTTCTTTCT